TTGCAGTAGCGTTCAATTAACGGGGCTTCAATCACACTACTCTTACGCGGATAGATTTAAATTGATGTGATTTTTTTTTTCCTGTTAACTGCTTTTTATTTTAACTTGAGTCATAACCTTCATTTAAAGGAGAATGGAGAAAGCACCGCTAAACAAAATTTGATTTTGTCACGACGAGATTCGTGAGGTTCTGAAATAGCTGCCCCTACAGACCTTGGGCTAGTAAAGTCAGGAGGGGTCTAATTTAATCCAAGCCAACTTAACCGCCCGGTAAAAATAATTTGATGCTTCTTGACAAGAAACGTGTTAAAGAAGGCATCTACCTGGCAACGGAATCATTTCGGAAAGAAAATCAAGGTAATAAAAAACCTCTCAGTTTTCTGGGAACATTTATAGCGCTAATTCACTGTATGTATATAAAACACTGGTACTCCCGATAGCCTTTTCCCTGTCAAAACGGGAAAATAGTCGGGCTTTTTGCTTTCAACTGAGCCGTGTTGTTGTTGTTGTTTTTTTTTTAACCGTAAAAATGTTCACACGGAAACGTTTCCGTTTATAAATCAACGCCTAGCAAAGCGGGGAAAACACTGCTACGGTTCAGTCCGACTTGAGATCAGTTGAAACCGAAAATCGAACTTTTCTTTCAAAACTATGCGTGGCATCTTTGGAAATACCTCTGGTATCTAACAAACCGTGACGGATCTAACTCTCTCTCTGTATTCAACGGCTGCTTGCTCGTTGTAAACTTCGCTACAGCTAACAAATCTTTATGTATTTCCCGTTTAGTGTCAAAAGAAACAGGCTACAGTCGACTCCTGGTAACTTTGATAAGTCGAACCCTCATTAATTCGAACGTCGCTCTAACTCGATCCAAATTTGATTTGATTTCCCCTGAATTTTCGTCATACATTTACTGCAATTTTACTCCCGCGATAACTGAATATGTAACTGGAACCTCCTGCTAACTCGAGTTAATTTCCATTTCTCCCTCCCGGTTATTTTCTACATCATTTGACCTTTAATAACTCTAAGTGTGATCAATTTTACCAAGTGAAACTCATTTTTGTAAGTGTGAAACTTTTTTTCCAAATGTGTCCCATTTTTAGAAGTCTAATCTTACTTAAAATCTATCTAGGTGTGACCCATTTTTCTAAGCGTGACCCATCGTAATGTGATCCATTTTTGCAAGTGTAACCCATTTTTCCAAGTGCGACTCTTTTTTCAAAGAGCGACCTTGTTTTTCCAAGTGTGACCCATTTTGCAAGTGTCACCCACTCTTCTAAGTTTGACACATTTTTCCAAATGTGAGAATTTTTTTCAAGCAAGACCCATGTTTTCAAGCGTGTCCCCCTTTTCCCAAGTGTGGCCCATTTTTCTAAGTTTGACCCTTTTTAACAAGTGTGAACCATTTTTTCTAGTGTAAGTGTGACCCACTCTTTTTATGTTTAACCCTTTGTCCTAAGAGTGACCCTTTTTTACAAGTGTGACCTATTTTTGCTAGTGCGAAACCCTTTATTCCAAGGGTGACCCACTTTTTCATGTGTGACCCACCTTTCTAAGTGTGACCAATTTTTCCATGTGTTACCTATTTTCCAAGTGTGACCTATTTTTTCAAATGCGACCCATTTTTTCAAGTGTGACTCATTTTTCCATACGTGACCTTTTTTCCAAGTTTGACTCTTTTTTCAAGTGTGACCTATTTTAAGTGTCACCTTTTTTTCCTGGTGTTACCCTTTTTTTAAGTGTGACCCATTTATCCAATTGTTACCATTTTTTCAAGTGTGACCCATATTTCCAAGTGTGACCCATTTTTTAAAGTGTCATCCACTTTTTTAAAGGTGACCCATTTTTCAAGGTGTGAGGCATTTTTATATTGTGACCAATTTTTTCAAGTAAGATTCCTTTTTTTTTCGAAGTGTGACGCATGTTACCAGCCGTGACTCATTTTTCTTACTAGTTTTTCCAAATGTGCCCATTTTTACAAGTGTGACTCTTTTTCCAAATGCGACTCATTGTTCCAAGTGTGACCCATTTTACCGTGTGACCCATTTTTCTGAGTGTGTCCCATTTTTACAAGTTTGACCCATTTTTCTAATTTAACCCGTTTCTGGAAATGTTAATCCCTCTTTGTGTGAACCGTTTCAGTAAGTATGATCCATTTTACCAGGTGTTACCCACTTTTCTAATTGTGACCAATTGTTTCAAATGCGACCCATTTTTCCTGATGCGACCCATTTTTGTAAGTGTGACCCACTTTTCTGAATGTGACCAACTTTTTTTCAAATGCGACCCCTTTTACCTAATGCGACCCAGTCTTTTTTTTTTAAGTGTGACCCATTTTCCCTAATGCGACCCATTTTTTTTGTTAAGTGTGACCCATTTTCCAAGTGTGACCCATTTTTGCAACTGTCATCCATTTTTCAAAGTGTCACCCACTTTTCTAAGTTTAACACATTTTACCAAATATGACCTATTTTTTTCAAGTGTGACCCATTTTTCCAAGCGTGTGCCCGTTTTTCCAATTGTCATCCCTTTTTCCAAGTCTGACCCATTTTAACAAGTATGACCCTTTTTATCAGATGTGACCCAATTTTCAAGGTGTGACCCATTTTTTCAAGTGTGACCCATTTTTACAAGTGTGACCCTTTTTTATCAAATATGACTTAATTTTCCAGGTGTGATCCATTTTTCCAAGTGTGACCTTTTTTATCAAAAGTGACCCATTTTACCAAGTTTAACCCTTCTTTTTCTAAGGCTGACCCTTTTTTCAAGAGTGACCCATTTTTCTAAGTGTGACCAATTTTCGCATGTGTTACTTATGTTTTCTAAGTGTGACCTATTTTTCTAAATGTGACCCATTTTTCCAACTGTGACCCATTTTTCCAAGTGTGAACCACTTTGCTAAGTGTGACCGTTTTTTCCAAGTGGTATGACCCACTGTTCTAAGTTTGACCCATTTTTTAAAGTGTTATCTATCTTTTTAAGAGTGACCCAATGTTCCAAGTGTGTACTTGTTTCCAAATGTGACTCTTTTTTTTTCTATGTGTGACTCGTTTCTCCAAGTGTGACCCATTTTTTCCAAATGTGACCCACTTTTCTAAGTATGACCCACTCTTTCAAGTGTGATTCATTTTTCCAAGTGTAACCCATTTTTCCAAGTCTGACCCGTTTTTCAAGTTTAACCCTTGACCATTTTTTTCAAGTGTGATCCATGTTTTGTAAGTGTTACCCATTTTCCCACTGTGACCCATCCTTCCAAGAGTGACTCTTTTTTCAAACTGTGACCCTGTTTTTCCAAGTGTGACCCATTTTTGCAAGTGTCACCCACCTTTCTAAGTTTGACATATTTTTCCAAATGTCGCCTATATGTGACCCGTTCTACGAAGTGTGACCCTTTTTTCCAGGTGTGTCCCATTTTTACAAGATCGACCCATTTTTACAAGTGTGGCCCTTTTCTCCAAGTGCGACCCATTTTTTTCTAAGTGTGACCGATTTTTTTTTAAGTGTGACCCTACCTGTTTTTCAAGTGTGACTCATTTTTCGAAAAGTAACCCTTTTCCCAAGTGTGACCTAGTTTTTTAAGATTGACCCATTTTTCCACTTGTTACCTATTTTTTCAAGTTTGACATATTGTTCCAAGTGTGACTTTTTTTCTAAGTGTAACTCTTTTTTTAAGTGTGACCCATTTCTCCAGGTTAGACCCATTTTCCAGGTGTGACCCACTTTTCTGGGTGGGACCGATTTTTCCAAATGCGGCCTATTTTTTCAAGTAACACCCATTTTTCAAGTTGCACACATTTTTCCAAGTGTGACCCATTTTTCCAAGTGCGACCCATTTTTCCAAGTGTAAACCTTTGTTAAAATTATGACCCATTTTTCTTAGTTTGACCCATTTTCCAAAGTGTAACCCTGTTTTCCCAGATGTGACCCGTTTCTCTAAGTGTGAACCACTTTTGTAAGTGTGACCCATTCTTCCAAATGTGACCCATTTTTACAAGTGTGACCCTTTGTTTTTTCCTAAATGTGACCCATTTTTCGAATTGTGGCCCATCTTTGCAAGTGTAACCCCTTTTTTTCCAAGTGTTACCTACTTTACTAAGTTTGGCCCATCTTTAGAAGTGTGACCCATTGTTCCAAGCGTGTCAACCTTTTTCCAAGTATGACCCACTTTTTTAAGTGCAACCCTTTTTATCAAGTGTGAACCATTTTTCCAAGTGTGACTCTTTTTCCAAGTGTGACCCGTTTTTCCAAGCGTGACCAATTTTTCCAAGTTTGACTCACATTTCTGAGTGTGATCCATTTTTTCAAGTGTGACCCTTTTTTCGAAGTGTGACCTATTTTTCCGAATGACTCAGTTTTGCAAGTGTGGCCCATTTTTCTGTTTGGCAGTTTTGCTTAAGAGCTTCTCCCTGAAAACCGCGTATCCCTTAGCCTGCGAACGCAGACGTAAATCCGGCTTTCGCTCGTCTCTGCCGAAAAATATCTCGAGCTTCGATTCCTTGAAATGCTGAATTTTATCGGCATCCAGGATCTTTCTTTTTTAACGCTCTTCAAACTATTCCGGACAGAGCGGCAACAATAACTGGGTCTCTCTTTCTCGAAGATTGAAACCATGAAGAGCACGATGGATCCACGAACCCGCCGTTTGTATCAGACAGATCAAAAATATAAACTATTATAAATTAGAACCCATGTCCTGCTGGGTATTTTGAAGTCTCATGAATCTCGTCATAAACTGGGAGAGACAGCGATCGATGATCATTTCTTCCAAACCTCCGCTAGGGGAGGAGAATGAGGAAAGTTGTCACTGATAGCCCATTTTCCTCTGGAACCGTTACTTGAGAATTCCAGCCCTAGAACTAACTAATTAAAGAATACAGAACATACAGCTTTGCATTTGCTTAGAAATGATCTGCTAATTCACTTTATGCCCCCTTCCATCGAGTGGTTTTCAATCATATTGACTACACGACTGATTTAAGCCAACAGTCGAGAACTCGGTTGAAAGCTTATCCCGCTTATTAAAACAGTATCGCTTGTAGATCTCATTGACTTCTCCGATGCAGTGTTTCTCCATTTTAGCCATTACCACTCGCCAATTATTTGAATCCTTGCCCTCGGTGTAGCTAAATGTTTTGATAACTTTCAAAGCTTCATTGCTGATTGTGTGATTGAACATAGCAAGCTGATATTGAGGGCTTTCTTGATCTAGCCTAGAAATAACAAAATAGTTGTTGTACTTTTCCTTCCAAAGCTTCCAATTCTTGGCTACTCCTCTGCTGGGCTGCAAAGCAAGAGGTTGAGGCGGTGAAATTTGATGAAACATTGGAGACTGGTTCGTTGAAGGTTGAGCAACTGTAGAAGAGCTTCCACCGGTTCCACTATGGCCTTCCTCATCGCTCATGTCGCTGACAGTTTAATTCGTCGACGACCAAGAGAAACTAGACCAATTTTCTGCTCGCTGACACCGTGTAATATTATGAAGGACACAAACGGAGTAAAATGAAATACACTTTGCTCGAACTCGACACGATTACAACTGAACTTCAAGCTATAACAGAATACTAAATAAACTAAAGCACGGTGGGAACAGGTCCCTAGAGGCATGTGCTAATGCATATTGTAACAACATTATAAGGATTTTATCATCCGCATATTGTCAATCACAATTTTCCATCCGCATTTTGTCATCCGCATTTTTCCATCTGCATTTTGTCATCCGCATTTTATCATGTGCATTTTTCATCCGCCATCCACCGCCATCCAGTCTGCACAGAGACCCAACAATTCCCCACCCCTGGAACTCGTATCTACCTCAACTATGTCTGTACAGTATGTGCAATAAATAGGGTGGCAATGTTGGTTGCTGTACAATAACAAAAACAGACATTTTGTCAAGAGCGCAACGCTTTTCTAGAGTTTATTGAACGAAGAATACTATGTAGAGCAATATATATGGAGTGCGCAGTTATTTTCCCTTTCACCTTTCGGGCTAAACAAAAGACAAGAATTTCATTCAAAAAATTGCATCTGCTTTACTTAATTTTAGCAGACTTTGGGCAATGGGTTGTGAGTTTCCTAAGGTGCATTTTTAACACTGAATTTTTTTTTTAACTAGTTGTTGTGTATGCACTGACTAAATATTGTCATGCCAAGGAGGTGTCATATCACAAAGTCACACAATAGTTATGCAAATTTAGCTCATAGAATCCCTCTTCAGTTATATGAAATGGGTTAGAACATAAACAAGTCTGCAACTATAGTTTTGGGCGAGCAAGAAGATTTTCATGCTCTCAAATTCAATGTGAGCTTTATAATTTTGCTCACAGACTAAAATTTCGAGCTTGTTCTTTGAGGGTCTCCTATACCCCTTTGTGAAACTCAGTCGCGTAAAAATATTTGGCTTTTTCACGTGTCACGAATAATATCCAACATTAGTTCACACTCATGCGAAATTGGAGACGATTCCGTGTTAAATAAAAATAAAAAAACAAATTCAAGAATTAATATTTCAACTTCTTCCTACCTGTTTATAAAGCTTTTTTTTTTTCCTCCTAGTTTGGCTCTTCAATTGAGTATTACAATACAATACAGTAACTTTACTTATATAGTGAGTATATACAAAGCTCTATATCGCATTACAGCCATGAAAATAACACTAAATATGATAATTTAAACTAAAATAAAGTATTCATCTAAATCACAAAACAGGTCTGTCAGACCTCTCCTTGTTTTGCAAAGACATAGATGGTTGTCTTAATTCCACACTGCCAAGTTAAGTTCGAGTTGAACTTTTAGTTGCACAACTTCCAAAGGAGTCACATTTCAGTTTTGACTCCTAATTCACGCAACCCTTTACTGGTCTTTGCTGCTAGTCCTTTCCAGAAGAAGAGGGCCTGATTGGTATATATTCATGTTCCTTTAGTGCATTTCTGCATTCCTCAGTAGAATTTCGAACAGATGTACATTAGACAGTATACTCAGTACACTTGCAAGGAATAATACCTGTACCTATGAGTTATAGAGATTGGAGTTGCAGTAGCCTGATGGTTAGTGCCCTGTCTAGACACTGGATTGATCAGTCCAGGTTCAGGTCCTGGCCAAGGCACTGCATTGTGTTCTTAGGCAAGGCACTAGTGCTTTTCCTCACCCAGATGAATAAATAGTAACAATGATTACAATGGTGGGGATTAACCTTGCAATGGTTTCTTATCGCTAAGGCATGACTAATTGGGATAAGCTCCAAATTTGCCTTAACAGAGATACCAAAGTCTCTGAAGCACCATATTCACATAAGGTTGCTGGCTGATAAAACATCTTTTAACACCAAAATTTGATTTCTAGGGTTGTCCTGGGCATAAGCGACAATAGATGACTAATGTCTTATTTGTTTAGAAACCATTAATGGTCTATTTTAGGACTTTCATTGATCCATGTGAAGTCCGTTTAATGTCAAAACCCCAGCACAGCTGTTCCAAAACAATTCATACATTTTCAAAACTGTAAAATTGTTGGACATTCATCACTCAAAAACAAAATGGTTCACAAATTGGGTTTACTTCAACTCTTCATTCATGGGACACGGTTAAATAAACAATATTTGTTCACGTGGACATAATAAATCTTGCCATCTTTTAACTCGAATCAAAAAAAAAGAAAAATTTCAAACCACTATTCATGAGAACATAAATAGCCCAGTCATGCTTCACTTAAAAAGTATAGAGGACCCTCTTCTTTTGTTCGCATATTTGGTTCGTGCAGAGTAGGTGTCAAATCAAAGTCACACAACAGTCATCCTTTCTGGCCTTGAGAAAATGTTAGGGTCAGGTACGCATATACATACGAGAATTGCCTCTTTATACAAGGGGACGTGTAACAAAATCTATGTATGCAAGTGAATATATGAAATATATTAAATTTGACCTCCAGAGAAAGATGTAAAGACATCAATTATCATGGCAGTTTTGTACATAGCTTAAGCAGTTGTAAAAATAAGACCTGAAAAATTCAGGCTTAAGGAGGATTTGTACAAGCCAAAATTTAAGCATGTTCTTTTGTTTACATATTGAGTTTATGCTGAGTTATGGTATTGGTGGGCGTTGATTCTGAGAAGGTGTCATCAAAAAGTGACCTAACAGTAATGCTAATGAGTCTCATAAAACTCTTTTCTAGTAAGAAGAAGCACGTTGGAGAATAAACAAGTTTACAACTATAGTTTGGTGAGTGAGAAGATTTTCAAGAACCCAAATCGATTGTGAGCTTTAAAATTTTGCCTTCAGGCTAAAATTTTGAATTTATTTTTTGTTTGCTTTTTGGGTTCATGCTCAGCAGGTGTAATGTCACACAACAGTCATGCAAATTGTTCTCTAGATAGAAGTAACATGTCGGAGAATAAACAATGTTGTAAGTGTAGTTTGGATAGTTAGCGTTTGTCACTTATTTTGTGGTGAAACATTTTTCTCAATTGTTTGGAGGACTGCCAAAAGTTTTGAGTGTGTTCTTTTGTTTTCATATTGCATTCACATCAAAAGACTTAGAGACTTGTCGTAGTTGGTGTCATATCACAAACGTGCGCAACTGTCACACAAACTTAGCTTGAAGAAGTGTACTGTAGTTCTCGAAAATGCATCAGGGAATGAACAAGTTTGCAAGTACATGTATAGTTTGGAAAATTAGGGTGGTTCATTAATTTTGTGTTGAAGAATTGTTCTCAATCATTTAAAGGTTGGCAACACAACTGTGACTTAGATGTTGTGAATGGCTGCTAAAAACAGAATAGAGCTTTCATGGAATTTTTTTGATCATTTTAACAATATATGTTTATAGTTGTTTAGTTAACCACTACAAATAAACAATATCTGTACTGTCAGAAAAGCAATTGAATATGGTTCTCCAGTGGCATAGCAAAAGAATATAATAACAGTTCTAAGCAGTCCAGTTCCAAATATGGATGTGGTAGGTGTCTACTGTTCAAAAACTAATGTTACAGTTTCACAGAGCCCTTACTCATCTTCATAACTAAGTAGTATCAGATACCACAATACCCACCATACTAAGTGGAGATTTCAATATTAATCTAATGCAAGACACAACAGGCCAAAGGACTCTCAAAAAATCACTGATAACGAACAGAGGATACACACAATTAACCATAAATTATACCACTGACTACCATACACAAGTAGATTGCATTTATACCAATGTACCACAACTCATGCAATTTTCAAGTACCCTAGAGTCATACTACAGAGATCATAAGTGGTGTTAGCCTATATTCATTTCCCTAAAAGCTCTGTGATTCATATTTTCAAACTCACCTAGATATATCCTAACACCAATATCCAGTACAAAAGTAAAATTGATCTCTATCACTGCCTACTAATTCATAGCTTGTTTCATGTGAAACTTTTACCATTATGTAGCATTTATTTTTTTATCTTTTTATATAATACATTTATTCCATTTTTAGTATTGTTGTACAATTGAACATTGTGCAGTTCCAGAAGATATCCATACTCCCCCTACCGAAGGGATTGGAATTTCCTGAGGTGGGTGGGTTGGGGTTTCTGCAAAATTGTATGAAGCTTAATTAGAATATCCAGAGGGGTGGAGGCGTCTTAGGAAAAAATCCCTTCCGTTGAGGAGGTATGGATATTTTCTGGAACTACACATTGTATTTTTGCAATATAAATATTGCTATTATTATTATTATTAATGTTATTATCATTATTATTATTATTATTATTATTATTATTGTCACCATCATTATCATTATTGGCTGAGCTATCGCACACTATCAGCCATTAATTAGTGTGCGGTAGTTGTAGGTTGAAATAAGATCTTTTCTTGTTTCCTAGGAGTTTCGGGGGAACATTTAAAAAAAGAAGGGTACATGTAATTTCACTTCAGAGTCCAGATATTCATGCTTTCTGGACTTTCAAAACTCAAAATTGTTGAAAAAAATTGATGAGCACGTGTAATTGAGTACAAAATTCAAATGACAATACAGTTTTCACAAATAAAACGTGAAGTTTCATACAAAGTATTCATTCACTCATTCATTCTGTTTATTTGCCTTTCTACTTAATATACAGTATTTATAAATATTTTAATGTGAGGCGAGGTGACCTCTAGAAACCATCAGGCTTTTAGTTGAGGCCACCTCGTACATAACAATATGGTTGCATAAATAGTGCAACAGTGTGCAGCTTCGCCAGTTGATAAATGATTGGAAATGGTTAATTGAAGGAAATTTTAGTTAGAATATGTACTTGTACTATTTAAACAATTAGATATGTTCTTGATTTCTATGAGCAGGGTGATAGTTGAGTTGACCTTAATTGGCCTCATCAACTATCACCTCAGAAATCTCGAGCTCATTGATGTAATTGTTAAATAGAAAATAGTGGTCCATTTTCTGACAGAATTATATAACAAAACTTTACTGTCTGTGAATAGGTACAAATACCTTATGAACGTATGAACAGCTTAATGTAAAAGCCTACTTTAGGCTTATTTATAAAACTGAGAAATTTATCACCGTATTATGGTGATAAATTTTTCAGTTTATATATAACCTGTTCATATTCTTTGAGACTTATCCACATGATATTCCTAGATAAGCTTAATATGCACCTGTGGGTTTATGTTACTGTGAGGAGGAATTTTCCTTTGTATCTGTGTGTTACACAGGTTTTGGATGTGTGAAAATTTTGTTTGTTTTGTCTGGTTTCTTACTATCTTACAGCTTTGGTTGCTTGCTTTTTAAGGCCACTGTGTTATCAAGGATAGGTGTATCTTCATCTTTCACGGTAAGAAATAGTGGTTTTTCCATTTTCCAATTGATTCCAGATTGCGTTTCACTGTCCAAGTACAAGTGAATTAGTTTCACCTTGGTAACATTTCCGTGCTCTATTTGGGTATTCTTATAGAGAGGAAAACAGTGAAACTGACACTCATGGAAGTTGCTTTGGAAATATGCAAAAGGTGCAAGATAAGGGGTTTCAATTATACATTTCTTTTCTGTATTTCCAGCCACTAAATATATTTTTGTTTCATTTCTATATAAATTCCTGTATTTATGTTGTTTCACAATATAATATACTGACTCTAGGACTGCAGTGACATTCTAGTGAATGACCAAAAGGAAAATAGAATAATATCACAAGTAATCTCAATCAATTAAGTTTACCTCTCATGGTAAGAAATTGAGGTGGTTTTTAGCCATTTTTTATTTGATTCTGGAATCTGCTTTCTCAGTACAAATGACAAATGAATTAGTTTGTTATGATCGATCAGAATTGATAATCCTATCCTAAATTGTGTGATCCTTCATTCCAGGGCCTCCCTGTAAACCACTTTGGTAACGGAAGTTTCCTGGCTTCATGTACATGCACGTACGTATTATTACTATAATTGGACATCATTACAAGTAGAACCAATGTTAAAATTTAATATCTATCCTTTGTTATCTACACCTTACTGAACCTTCTTTTCAAATATTGATCTGTATGTAATTGTGAAACTGGATAAAAAGTTTGTCATGTCAAAACTTAGGCTGAATTACATTTACATCAGAGCAATTAAGCCCCTTGAGATGTACTTCTTTGAGTTTGATTTTTTTTGTAATGGTGACCAGTTGACTGAAATTTGGTTTGAGTCATCCTTTTGACAGAAGATCGGCATCTATGATTAATAAGTATATTTGCTATCAGTTATGATTATTAATCTGGGATTTTACGATTATTAACTGTAAAAGCTGCCAAACCTGCTCATTAATAATAATTATTGTGGATTTTACGATTATTAAGAGTAAGAGATGCATTTTACGATTAATATTCACAAAGTATCACCTTTTATGATTAACAAGTCAAATTTGTGCATCTTGTGATTATTAAAGGTGAACAATTCACTCCAGAAATAAACACCTGTTTTCCTAACTTTTGCATGTACACCATACAGTACAATAACACTCAAAAGAGTAAGTTACATGTACCACCTCTCATCTTGTTTCTCCTTTCTGTTGAGATGCATCTTGTGTGTCTCAAGAATTGCTGGAGCATTTACAATTAATGAACTTAGTGATCGCATAATGTTCAAACAAAATCAATAGTAAGGCCATTTACATGCATGAATTTTTTAATAAGTGTTTTCTTAAGTACAATCTGAAAAATATCAATTTACTAAAATAAAATATCTAAAATAAAATTTCAATTAACGAAAAGACTCCTCTGGTATAGGGATAGTAACAATCTTGTCATTCCCCTGCATCCTGAACGGCTCTGTAATATTTTGATGTTGTGGTATAGTAAGTAATGCACATTGCTGTAAACTCGTAAATTTGTAAGTAATTGTAGTGCTGTGTGTAGCATTTGTATTGTAAGAATTGTGGCTGTTGTAAGTAAATAAAAAAAATACACTGGATAGAATTAAAAAAAAAAACATATTGATCGCAAGAAGCAGATGTACATGTACCTTATATCAAAGACAACTGCTCCATTTAGGTACCAAAAAAAGTTTGATCAACGGCGTGTACATGTATGTATTGATCTCTCGTTCTATTCGTTTCGAACAAATGTATTTTATGCCCCCTTCCATTGAATGGTTTTCAATCATATTGACTACATGACTGATTTAAGCCAACAGTCGAGCTCTGTTTGCTAGAGCGCTTAAAGTAATGACAGCAACCTGCTGGGATAATAATTTGGCCATGTGTCGTGGCCGCTTTTAATTGATAAATTACTAACTAATAATTAACTGCATCATAACATAATAATCATTCATAAAGTATATAAAGTCGTCATACCAACGATTTAAAAGTAATTTAAGCTCTAGTAAAGGTGAGGGCCACGAAAAAGGCCAGAAGGACGCTGTTAAGCAGCCACCCCTACCCGAAGACTGTTGGCAAACTCTGAGACATCATAAATATAAACGAAGCTTAATGCCAGAAAACATTAAGGATGTGACAACACAGCACCTGCATGTGTTATCTATTGCACTAATTCATAGCTAGGGTGTTGATAAGTCAGTGGTGAGACTAAGCATTCGTATATATTTAAGGAAAGCGTTTGATTTCCAGCGACCTAACAAACGAATCTGAGAGTCCGAAAAACCTTTAGCGGGTGCCCAGCTTGCCGCACCAATACAAAAACTATGTGACTTGTATAAAGAAGCATCTAGGTTGTTAAACCGCAAGGCATTATTAAGTTGTGTGATAAAGAATGATCTAGAAATCAGCCTCCCGTCCGGCCAGCAATATAGGGGACCTGGAGTATGTCCTCTTAGCAAGATATAATCTAAGATAAGTTGTACCAGACAACAATTGATCTCACGTTAAATATAAATTACAAAAGGTTGACTTGGGTCGCTATGCTTATATTGAAAAAGAGAAAGCTGAAGGGCCTTGACATGGCCATGCTTGTCTACTAGACGATCTAACTGCATTATATTTATAAGATTGACCTGTTGTCCAGTTGTGGTGGTCATTTCTCCTATTCGTAAAAAGGCAAAAAGCGCTAAAGAGCACCTGCCTGACATTAAGCATTTCTGATAAGATGACGTGGCTGTATGTGTGAACGATTGTATTAGCTGGTGTAAGATTGGCAGAGTGATTGGTAAGTGAACATCTCTGACTGGAGCTAATTTCCTATAACCCTTAAGAATTTGAACAATTATTGTTGCTGCAGTTGGGTCGCCTACCCCGACTAACTTATGTATGTAACTAATAGCGGAAACGTAAGTGGTCACTGATGAGGAAGCATAGTGAAGAGAAAACAAATGTGATATAAAGAAAGCTAAAACAGCTGGTTGCACTGGCAGTGAAATAATCGAGGTACCTAGATATTGAGCAGCCCAAGTAGTGAACAAAGTCCAAGGCTGTCTGTAAACTCTAGCCAAGGCGCTGTTTAAACTGGCAGCTAAAAGTTTCTTAGTTATATCTCCCAGTTCTCTGGTAACAGATGGGGGAGGCACGATTGTCGGTTCTTGGTCCGCATCCTGGTCGAGGGACTTGAATTTGTCCACCTGCAACAGCGATAAGGTGTCAGCTTTCGTATTTAAAATCCCGGGCAGGTGGATTGCTCTGAATAGAATATTATGCCTCAAGCAGGACAAAACCAGGGCGCGGACAAGAACCAAGAG